GCACCGGGCTTTACTCGTAGCAGTGACTGCCTGGAAGGCAGGATTTGTTTCTTGTAGATTCATGACAGAGCCAGGACCTGAGGCAGCCTGCCACGTGGGCTCACCAGGGCTGTTCCTGTGCCTTTGTCTTTGTGGGCACTCTCGCTGGCAGCCTTACGTTTTCCTATTGACTGGCGGGCTGTGGTCCCTTTCGACTGCCTTGGACCAATCTGGGTAGGGAGACTTGGAGTGGGCTTCTGAGAAAAACCAAGAACTTGACTACTGTAGCGTGAAGACAGAAAGCATGTTGGGTTGTTCGGTCATGGTATGTCACATTTCAAGGGAACTCTCTTGGCCTTTGTCCATTCGATTTCCAGATGCCTTTTAGGGTCTCCTCTGTCAGTGATCTTCCATAGGAAGCCTATCATAGGAAGACATAGGCAGACTTGCCCACAGGTGCAGTGCCTAAGAGCATGGGTTCTGCAGCCAGATGAACTCTGTTTCAATGTCAGCTGTGGGACTTTGAGGAAATGACTTAGGTGTCTGTGCCTCGATTTCCCTGTAATAGGAGTGATGATACCACTACAAATAACACATGTCTCACAGCACTGTGGTAAGGATTGTATGAGTTGGTATATGCGTCCAGCTTAGAAGAGGGCCTGGCAGCTGGAAGGGCCAGGGAGGGTATGCCAGGCTGTGCATTCCTAGGAACTGCGCAGAGGACACTGACCCTTTCAAATCCTTTGCAGGAAACTTGTCCTGCCTGTCCTGATGTGTGTTTCTCTGTGGGCACCTCTGACCCCAACGGGTCCTGGCGAGTGTCCTGCCTGGTCCTGTCACACTGGGTTGTCTGCTCAAGAAAGGTTTTTATGACTGGGCTTAGGGCTCCCTGGGAGCCAGGCCTGGGTGTCTCTGGGAGCTGATGGCCCGACTGTCTGTGCCAAATGTACAAACTGCCCTTTCACGGTGAACCGACTTCAAAGTGGCTTCCCCTCATGGCGACTTTCTTTTGAAGCAGTAGGGCAACTACCCAAAGCTATAAAAGCAGGAGCCGCATTTATCAATGGATTGATCAACCAGTCAGTCAGCATGTATTTGTGTGGTGTTTTCTATGCGTTGAGCTCCGAGCTAACTGCTCCCTGGAGAAATAAAAGAAATACAAGACAAGGTCTCGAACTCCAAGTCAGGGTCCCCAGATGACTACCTGGGCCATGATTATAAAACTGCCACTCAAGGGAAAGAATTCCTGTAGCTGAAGATGCCACCTCCCAGCCCAGGGAAACGAGGGAGGCGGCTCTGCTACCCCAGCTCAGGAAAACACCAGAGGAGAGGGACTGCTGGGGAGATCTTTCTGACCACATGTGAAGGATGAGTGACCAGCTGGCTGCTGCCAGGGTTCACGCTTGCATCTATGAAGACTCTCAGGCATGGTTGAGAACAAGAAGTCAGAAAGACGAATCCCACAGACAGGCAGCGACAAACAGAACTCCAGCAGCAGCAAGTCAAAACAGAAAGCTGATTTGTCAAAGATGATTCCGAGGTTCTCAGTGGTAAATCAAACCTCAGGCTCTACACATTCTTCAAAGGCGTGCAGTGCGGTGGGCAGCAACACTGGCTCGGGGGTCAGACCAACGTGGGACGAGTCTGGCTCGAGCTTTCACCAGCAGAATGACCTTGGCACGTTTCGAAGCTTTCACTTCTCCCTCTGTGAAATGAGGACTCCTGTCCCTTCTTTGTGGCATTGTGGGTACGCCTGCAGGAGGCAGCTTGCAGACAGGTGCGGCCGCTTGCCTTTGCACATGGTGAGGGCTCCGGCCGTGCTCGCTTTTGGCTGTGGTCAGCCCGCATCGACAGAGACGCACACCTGTGAGTACTCCATGCTGTAATGGACGCAGAAGTTTAGAGAGGAAACAGGCGTGACCTCCGCCCCGACGACACCACAGTGGAGAGAGTCACCTGTGTAGGGAGAATTGTCCCACAGCAGGCCAAGGGAGGGCTGCAAGGCCCTTCCACGTGTCTCACTCCTGTCTGTGTGTGCTTCACCGTGAGGGGACCACGCCCTAGCAACAAGGCATCCTGCAGGCCTGCCTACGGTCCTGGCCAGTGTGCCACTAGCTCTGCTCAACCCCTCCAACAATACCACTTCCTGCCCCTACCTCCTCCTCCCTCCCGTGACCAGAGAAATGACACCCTCAAAACGTCGACATTGTCCACATCACACAGGCCTTGAGCATGCCTTCCAATAACTCCTCCCTTCAGACACGTGACTGTAGTTCCAGGGCGATTCTTATGTTGGCAGCTGGTCTACACCCACTGAGGTGCCCCTGGCTAAGGAAGGAAAGTTAGACGTTCTGAGGCCACTCTGAGATCCCTTCATCCGTCACTGTCCTCTGCTTCACACACCTACACCAGTCCCTCCATATCACCTGGGGGCCGCAGGAGGGCTGAGTCGGAGACCTCTGCTTCCCCCTGGAGACCCCTGCTCTTGGGACTGGAGCCTCGGAAGGAAGGCAGCTGGGCCACGAGAGCGTCCCCAGGTCTCTGGGCAAAGCTACCTTCCCCAGAAATCAGAGGCAGACGTGTCCTCTCCCTCCTCTGAGAGGGCACCCTGCTGGGAGAAGCCTTCCCGATCCTTAGAGAAGGTTTTGGGAGGTCCACACTACTGGTTTCTTAAGGGTAGAGAAGCAGACAAGGAAAGTTAGACGTTCTCTTAAAACAGACTCCTCACGGCCATTGTCTTGCTAGACTCCGGTCTGGCCATGTGCTCTTTGAGCTATGACTGTCGCCATGCTTCCTGACTTTGGTCCCCTCCCCCACCTTGAAGAGATGAATTTTCTCTCTCTCTTCTCTTTCTCTCTCTAATTTACTTTTAAATAAACTTTTCTTTAAAAAAAAACATACTCCCTGCAAATGCAACACAAGCCACAAAGGAAGCACTGCATTGGTGAGAAGCAGACGCAGGATGGGGGAAGAAAGTGCCTACCTGGCTGCTCGGGACCCTTGAATTGGACGTACAAGTCATGTTTTCAGGTCAAGAAACATCCGCGGGGGCATTTGTGTTGGGCCTGGCGTCTCTCCTCCCCTTTCCGGATGTTCACCGAGTGAGAACATTCTGGGAATGAACACTTCCCTGTCATACTCCTGCTAACTGGTCTATTTCAACAGATGGCCTCTCTCATACGGTACATACTCCTTCGACCTCTGTGAGGTCTGATGATGTCCAGAGGCAGTCATAGACCCTCAAGTTCATGAGTGCGAACACATCTGACAAGCTCCTGGCTTGCTTTCACACCACCTGGTCCTCGCGCGTTGCCTCATGGCACGGGCTAACTGCCTTTTCCACTTGAGCTGAGGCTCGATCTATCACATTATCCTCTTCCCCACACGGAGACCAGTTTTGATGAAAACAACAATAACAAAATGCACTTTGGGAAAGTTCTTGCCAGGCCAGCAAGGAATGAAGTGCCCAGATGTGTCTGGAGCTGAGGGGTCAGTGGGGGCCCTTTAAGGGAGAACCTTCCATGTACCACTTCCAGGAGGTATGAGGTTCAAATCCAGACCTCTGCAGGCAGCCAACATTCTCTAGAAAGAATGCTTGGTTTTCAGAATTTGATCTGATACCAAAGTCCCAGAGCCCTGGGGTTTTGCTAAGAGTGACTTAGGGAAGCCAGCAAGAGCTGTCTATTCACTGCAGGGTTCATGTCTTCATGGGCACCAAGAGATGGAATCCTATATGGTGCTGAGGATGGTGACCTGCACATATTTGTTTCCTTTGTGTCCAGCTAACTCAGAGACTCCATCCTCATGGTCGTTCATGAATACTATTCATTGGGAACATGTGCCCCAGGCTTTTTTCCTGTCCACACTTCATTCTTGGGCTGCTGGGACCATGGTGGATGGGAACGCCCATTCTGGGGACACTGTGGGTAGAGGCAGGTGTAGCAGGACGACAGCAGTAATGAAAACGGCTTCTCCTCGCGTTTCATACAACACAAGCCTATCTCTTACGCCACCCGGGATAGGAGAATATCTGGGAAATAATGAAGGAAGGTTGTGATTATAACTCTAGGCCTTCTGAAGATTGAGGCAGATGGACCGCACGTATCTACTGATGATCCGTGCCCTCTAGCTTACCGTCAGACTTGAGGCAATGTTTGATGAAAGACAAACACAAAATATGGTCTTGAAAATCGGAGTAAAGGATCACAAACTCCTCAGGAGGAGGAGGTAAAGAGCTTATAAAAAACCCACACAGATGTAAGCACCGTGACGAGCCTGGCATTGAGTTTAGTGTTTCCTGGCCACGGATGCAAAAAGAAAAAAATCTACAAATTATTCTTCAGGAGAGTTATACTTTCCCTTGGTAATAAATCCTGAAATAGATGTACAATGTGGGATTTATGCAAAAGGAATTCAATGACACAGTGTCCCGTGCCCTAATGGGTTTTACAAAATAAGCTAAATAATATTTCATGGGTAGCCACTTCCCATGTTGTCCCTTAATAATAGCTTAAATCAAATAATTATAAATAGTTGTGCATTCTATCACAGGGAAGAAAGGTAAAATAATCATCAAATCAAATTGAGGGGGTGAGGCGGAGGTAGAGACATAAGTGAAACAAAAATGGCAGAATGTCGATTATCTTTTAAGTTGAGTGGAGGGTACATAGGAGCTCATTGCAATGTTCTATTTGCTTTGTATACATTTGAAATTTTCCATAATAAAGAACAAATTTTAAAAATAGTTGAAAGTATTTGGCAGCCAGGAAAATTAAGCTAGTGTGTTGTCTGACAAAGACTATATTTTATCTGATGGGGTTTTAAGTAGATACAGTTTTATGCTGACTCTTTGGAAGTTGATTATCTGGGATGTGGAGCACTCCATGTTATTCAGTCAACCCCTAAGCACTGTAGACTTTTTTTTTGTAATTGTGCACATTCCCAGCTAAGCACAGTTGTAGGTTATGGACTACAGACTGCCAAGGAGTAGAGGGAAGAGGGAGAAAGCCAGATCCAGATACCTTCACTGCAATTCTTGAGGGCAAAGAAGTCCACAGCAGACAAGCTTCGGTTTCCACTCGAGACGTACTCCAGGGCCACACGGAAGGGATTCTCGGGGCGTCCAATCCTTCCCTGCAGGACTGTCCAACTGGTTTCATGGGAAAGCAGAGGAGAAAAACAGAGAACAGTGGTGAGAAGCAGCCCCGACTGCAGAGGGGGCCATGCCCCTATGGTGACTTCAGGGCTCAAGTCTTCATGGGCAGCGAGAGACGGAACCCTAGTGGCGCTGAGGACTGTGACCTTGACAGCTACATGCAAATATTTGTTTTTCTTTTGTTTAGCTAACCCAGAGACCCAATTCTTAAGCCCACTCTAGCCTTGGGCATTTCTTTTGTCATATTCTTTTTAAGGCAATCACCGTTCTTTGGACTATTTTCAGCAGCTAGTCTTACAGGGAAAGGAGATATATACTTGAGAAAACCCTGGCTGCATGTCAAGGAAGTCTCCAGAACATTTACCCATCTACTCATGATTATCTCTAGAGAGAACGCTTGGTTTTCTGAATTTTATCTGATGCTGAAGTTTCAGTGCCCCCAGGTTTGCTGTAGAATTCAGGGACGCTGGCAAGAGCTATTTATTTGCTGCAGAAAAATTAAAGTTCACCCAAGCATGCATTTGGGGCGAAAGGGACCAAAGATTGACGTGGACTTTGCACAAAGTGCAAGCAGAAGATGGAGTCGGGGACACTGGGCTCTGCCGCCCTCTACACTCACAGATGCTGACACCGCGGGGATGGAGAAGTGGAGAAACGCACACCTTCACACCCTGCTCCTGCGAGGAAGCTCTCGGGATGGCCTACTGCCACTGACGGGAACATCACATTTACTTTCCAGCACTGATTTGGATATAGAGCTTTATTTGTGACAAATTTCATATTTTATTCCCTTAAAAAACAACTTTATTGAGGTATCATTGATGTGTAAAACGTCACATGCAGCCAAAGTGCATAATTGGATTAAAGTATATACATTGGTAGGTTTTGATTCATTTAGGCACCCTGAAATCATCACAGTATTGTATATTTTCTAGCCCCTGGGCTGGGCTTAGGCATGGCAGTAGAGGTGGTGAAGAATTGAAGGGAAAACTTGCTTTCTGTTAAAAAACATTTTTTAATATTCCCATCCTTCCAGTGTAAACTGATGTTCACCATACAGCACAACTCGACACGGCATTAAAAATCCAGCAATTCAGAAAGCTTGGTAAGAGAAAAGTCACCCGGAATGCTACTGCCCAGCAATAGTCACAGTCCTGCCTAGAACGGCCACCAGCTTTCATCTTACGGGCATGAGGCCTGACTCTGCATACCCTCCGTGATCCCTCGTCCACCCAATGGTGTGTCATGGATGATAAGCAGACCACAGGATCACCTTCATGATGGCATTTCCAAGGATTTGTGCATTGTTTCTGGTTTTGTCTTCACATGACCTCCAGAGGCTAATGGTGTCTGACCATGACCTCCAGAGCCCAGCAGTGTCTGATAAAGACCTCAAGAGGCTGGCAGTGTCTGATTACAACCTCCAGAGGCTGGCAGTGTCTGACCATTACCTCCGGAGGCTGATGGTGTCTGACCACAATCTCCAGAGGTTGGTGGTGTCTGACCATGATCTCCAGAGGCTGGCGGTGTCTGATTATGACCTCCAGAGGGTGATGGTGTCTGACCATGCCCTCCAGAGGCTGGCAGTGTCTGATCATGCCCTCCGGAGGCTGATGGTGTCTGACCACAACCTCCAGAGGCTGGCAGTGTCTGATCATGACCTCTGGCGGCTGATGGTGTCTGACAATGACCTCCAGAGGCTGATGTGTCTGACCACAATCTCCAGAGGCTGGCAGTGTCTGATCATGACCTCCGGAGTCTGATGGTGTCTGACCATGACCTCCAGAGGCTGATGGTGTGTGACTATGACCTCTGGAGGCTGAAGGTGTGTCTATCGAGATCTGGCCTTAGGACAAACTCAGAGTCTGAGTGGTGCACACGTGAGAGTCTGGGACTGTCGCCAGTCCTTCCCCAGTGTGCCAGAAGCCTGTGTCTGTGTTTGCTGGCTCACACTGGGCCCCCGCCATGTCCCTCCTGTCTGTGCTGACTTTGGGGCTGTAGGCCACTGAGATCTTCTTTGGGGGAGCTCCCAGAGGGCAGGCTCATGCCTCTGTCCTTGTGCAGCGGGGCCTGCCTGGGTGTCTGCTGAGTGAGGGGTACGTTTGTTCCCTAGGGATGCCTTCCGTGGCGAATTTTGCTCACTGGAACCAGCTCTTCCATCACTTAGTGAAAGCGTGTGGAGTTTCCCCACAAAAGATGCCTCAGCAGGGATGGCTGCTGCTGTGAAGCTTGTTCTCTGTTACTGTACCCAGCAGAATTTCCATCCAAAATAAAGCGAGTGCCACTGAAGGACAAGGAGGCCTTTGGTTTAAACATGGGACTGTCAAGGAGAGAAATATTTGAAAAGATGGTGTGAACAGGGTGTTCTTAAGGCAACACAGAGGAGCAGAGTAGACTTTTTCTTGTTCTTCAGAAAAATTAAGGACCCATTTTTGAGGAAAGATGTAATAAAGGGCAGGAGTGTTCATATTCTATCAAAAGCACAGCTCCCTGCTCTGAGGAACGGCGGAATTTGATTCCAGGTATGCCCTGGCCCTTGGCAATGAATTCTGTCTCTGTGCTGGCCCTGGCCTCTGGATAAGCACGTCAGCAGTTTCAGGAATTCGTTTCCGAGTTCCTGATGCAATGACTTTCGTCTGAAACTCTCCGGCCTCCCAGTTTACTGCTGCAACTTTAATCACTTCCAGAGCTGTTGCCAAACACGCATTTTATATTCAGGGAAACTGGGACTGGAAATGACCAAGCCTATGCCTAGGGTCAGATTTGTTTAAGAAATGGCCAAAACCCTAGGTAAAAAACAGATCCAGGCTCCCTCTGTGCCGCCATGTTCTCTGCTCACAAGCCCGTGGTTATCAAACAGCATTTGGGTCCCGCGTCCCTGGCCTTGGCTGGAGGCAACTCTGCTGAGGCTTGTGGGGGAAGGACACGTTCTGACCTGGAGCCTTCCAGAAACATGCGTCCATGTGCGGGGGGGCTGGTGACTGTCCCTGCACCGGTGCTTCAATCAATCAACTTGACGGCACTGGGTGTCCATCTGGACTTTGGGAAGCCGAAAGGATGGTGTGGGCAGCTTGTCACTGTCCATTATGCCTCACATGCCTCTCCAGAGCGCTCCAGTTCCAGCGCTGGCTCTGCCTCTCATCTGCCTTGTGATTCTGAGCAAAGACATTTCTCTCCAAATGCCTGGAGTTTTGGATGGCTTCCGATGAACCATATTCTCAGTCAGAGGACATGCCTCCGACCTTGAGTGGATTTTTGGAGGCCCACCCATTTTTGCCGAGTGACGACATCATAAAGAGTAAGTTAGAGTCCATCACCAGAGGCAGGAGCGTTGGTCTGTGAATATCAAGGTGCTTTTCTGGCCTAGAGACTAGAAGTACTACGTGGGGCGGCCCCTAAGCTGGTAGCAGAGTCCTGGGGTCTGGTCCTGGATTGCCATGCATCTCCTGGGGCCTGCGTTTCTTCATTAGAAACACTCAGTCACTGAATCAGGCATTCTCCAATGACCCTTATTGATCCGAAACACACACATCTCAGCAGACTGCAGGAGTCCTGGTGACAACACATTTTATAGATGCCCCGAAAGCTGCAATTGACAAATAACACCCCACAGAGGAGGGAGGGCAGTGATTAGTTGTGGAATCTCTGATTTATTTATGCAAAGGGACCCAGCTGCACCCTCCTTGAAGAAATGGAGACTTGCCCAAGGTCACGCATTGGGTTGTCTGCAGACCTGAGTGACCGTGCAGCCTATGGATCCATCTGTAGGATCAATCATGTTGCCTGTCACATGGGTCACAGAGATGGAGACGGACATGTCCGCCTGGCATTGCTGGAGTGATCACGAGTATGGTTTTTAGAATAAATATATAAGCCAGAGAATGAGATACCTTGTCAGAAAACCTACACAAAAATCCTAAGGAACATTGACATGGACACAAAACCTTCCAGGCACCCGTGGCCCCCAGCCAGCCCAGCTGTATGTGTTTAAGGGCAGCTGTTGGGCATGTCTGCGGTGAGGTGGGCGGCTGAAGGGCTGGCAGCCAGGACTCAGGGATACAGAGGAACCAAGAAGAAAGGGGCGCGTCTTACAGCAACCGAGGACCATTAACAGCAGTTGACAAGATGGAGCGCACATCCTGCCTTGCTTGCATGCGACATCACGACGGGCATCCGGTGGGCATAGGGCTGGCTCATGCTGGCACGCCGGAGCCTACAGGGATCCCATGGGATGCCTTCGCCGAGGGCCTCAGCGGCTGCCAAAGGCAAGGCCTGGGGGCCCCCAGCTCTGCCTACTAGTCAGTGACCTTAGGTAAGTGACTTAACGTCTCACTTCCACATCCTTATTTTGGAATGGAAGGGCCTAATGCCCCGCTTGCCAGATGGCATGAGGATGTGTGAGAAGGACATGTGCCAAGGGACCAGGACCGTTCTGGGGATACAGCAGGGCTTCCGTCAGGGAATTATTCCTCCCAAAGACCACAGGAATGATACTGGTCCATGCACACACCTGCATATCAGCTCACGAGACTCAGGGAGGAGAGGAGTGTCAATAAAGGAGGTGGGAAAGGCATGGGCAGTGTATACATGGCAGCCAGCATGGTTGTTTAAATTTAAGAAACCTTGTTAAATGGATCTTCATCTGCTAAACACACCCCAAGGGATCAGGCAGGAACGCCTCTGCAACAAAAGGTGTCAGGAGTAGGCCACGGCGGCAGATCAACACGCTTCTCAGGACCCCAGAGGCCCCGTCTCGCCTTGCACGCGCACCCCCCTGCCCCTGCGTCTTCCTGCAGCACCAGAAGATGCTTTGCATCTGCTGCTCGGCTGGAATGTGCAGAGTTGCACTCCGTCCCTAGGTATTTACTGGCACGTTGCAGCCCCAGACGCAGCATTAGATGCTCCCAGACTGCTAAGGGCTTAGGATCTGACTTTGCACTCGAGGAACTTACAGATGGTGAGAAGCAATACAGCCGTGTCCCAGGGATCACAGC